TCAAACAGAGTTGTCTTTGTCATTTCAAACTATAATACTTGGTTGATCTCGAGACAAACAGACCAACAAATCTAACCAAAAAATTAAAAAAAGGCTTAGTTTATGGTTTTATGTTGCTTTCTTGTAGCAGAGGTGATTCTGAAGACATTTACAGTCTTCTCAAATAAAAAAGAGGAATTAAAGATGCCAGCTTGCAAAAGACTTCAAACCAAAACTTGGATCAGGGCTTAGCAACATCAACAGAAGCAATGTAGGAAAGGGTCTCAGTGTGGTGTCTGGAAAGGACAAAAGAGACAAAGACAACTCTGTTTGACGCGTCTCATCCTCTTTACTCAAGTCAGTAAGTCAATATGAAGTTGCTGAGGCACAACAGGCGTGAGACGGACCAATGTGTGTCTGTGCTGCTCGTGTTTGGTTTCATTACAAATCACCGGGAGTTCTCCAGCACTTAGGAGGGTATGGTAACCTAGAAAGATAGAAGATATGGTGTCCACAGCAACCACAATGAATGAGGCAGAGTGGGTGAGTGGCGGGGCCTCAGGAAGGGCAGGATAAGGCAGAATCTCAGCCAGTTTGGGGTCATGAACCTCCTGGGAGAGATGGAGAGACGGCAAGGACTGAGAGAAGAGGATCTCTTTGAGACAAAGATGGCCACACAAGAGGGCGAGAACTCTCCCACGTCCCTCACCCTTTATTTCCCTTCAATCGCCACAGAGCCGACGCACCAACACACACAACTGTACCTACACATGAAGACCTAAAGAAGAACTCCTTCTGCTAGGACCCCAACACGTCGCTCGTTCTGAAGGTACATCGTCATAAGGATCTGAAACCAACAGGTTTTAATCCATTTTAGATAACAGAACTAAAATAAATCCCAATCCTGCTCAAGTGAAGGACACAAGGAGCTCATCGACGTTCAGACCTGCAGGAATTGATTTTTAATTCCCAGCGGGCGATCGGGCTCACGAGCAGCGGACGCCGTGAGTCACCTCCGTTCTGATGAAACGCCGGTCGACACAGATCGATTCCACACGATGGGACTCGAGCACGTTACAAACAAACAGTCTTTATATCACTTCATGTAGTTTAACGCTAAACGACGAGGATGCTTCAGTTTAAAACGTTCCCATTGAAAATCTATAAATTACAGTTTTGTCCAAATTCGTGGAAAACACGGCAGCAGGTCAGTGACGCAACCAAGAAGATTTTAATACTCGAATACCATGAATACAGAAAGATTGGTCTTTTTGTCTACGCATCTGTCCTCTTTGTCAGAGGCTGGTGCTTAAATTACCCACAATGCAGCTTGGCTGCCAACATTTAAAATAAATGAGTGACAGTGATGTTTCCTCAGCCGGGTTGTTCCTCTTACCTGTAGGAGTGACGGTAACAGCCCCCATCTCCTTTTGACTCTCCACAATCTTTGTCCACCCCCCTCCACGTTCATGTGTCCACTCTGTCCCGCTGCAGGCGTATGTCCCCTGATCAGACGTCGTCAGTCTGGAAATCACCAGATCGAATGCTCCATTCCTGCCAGGAACCAATCGGACGTCGCCGTCCGCGTACCGACGCGTGAACTGCGAACCCGTTACGACCTCCCCCTGAGGCCCAAACGTCAGGATGTCCTCCGAGGCGCCACCCTTTTTGATGGACCAGGTGACGGACAGGTAGGTGGGGTAGGTGAACTCGCGGGTGACGTTGCAGGAGAGCGTGAGGTCACTTCCCTCTGGGACGACTTGGGGAGGAGTCTCAGGGGAGACCTTGAGGGTGTTCGGGATGACTATAGAGAAACAAACAACGGTGAAGGTTAAAAACAAGATTCCACAACTGTCTTTACGTGGACATTTTGGTCATACTTTGTGCTGAGGATAACTCTCAGCTACTACCACACAAACATTTAGCTCATTATCTGTTAAAATGGAAAAGCTATTGCCATTTTTGTGTTGGCTAACATCGATTAGCTACATACATCCACACTAAGGTACATCTGCCCTTCTCTTCCAGCTCTGTGTTACTGTTGCACAGTTATTATTTTTATTATTATTATTGCCATACTCAAACTAATAAAATATTTGGTAATAATAGAAATACAAAGATGCAACCATGAATGTATGAGAATATTTACTGAAATGAAATGTACTAAATTAAGAGCTACAGGATGGAAGTTACCTTTGAGTTCTAAGAGTTAGTGGGAGAGATCATACAGTGCATCACAAAAGTGAGTCCACCCCTCACATTCCTGCAGATATTTAAGTTCATCTTTTCATGGGACAACACTGACAAAATGACACTGACACAATGAAAAGTGTGTGTGTGTGCAGCTTATAGAACAGTGTAAATTTATTCTTCCCTCAAAATAACTCTACAGCCATTAATGTCTAAACCACCAGCAACAAAAGTGAGTGCACCCCTTATTGAAAGTTCCTGAAGTGTCAATATTTTGTGAGGCCACCATTATTTACCAGAACTGCCTGAACTCTCCTGGGCACGGAGTTTACCAGAGCTTCACTGGTTGCCACTGGAATGCTTTTCCACTCCTCCATGACGACATCACGGAGCTGGCGGATATTCAAGACTATGCGCTCCTCCACCTTCCACTTGAGGATGCCCCAAAGATGTTCTCTTGGGTTTAGGTCTGGAGACATGCTTGGCCAGTCCATCATCTTTACCCTCAGCCTCTTCAGTAAAGCAGAGGTCGTCTTAGAGGTGTGTTTGGGTCATTATCATGCTGGAACACTGCCCTGCCACCCAGTTTCTGGAGGGAGGGGATCAGAGTCAGAGTTCATGTGTCCCTCAATGAAATGTAACTTCCCAAAACCTGCTGCACTCATGCAGCCCCAGACCATGGCATTCCCACCACCATGCTTGACTGTAGGCATCACACACTTATCTTTGTACTCCTCACCTGATTGCCGCCACACATGCGTGAGACCATCTGAACCAAACAAATTAATCCTGGTCTCATCCGACCATAGGACCTGGTTCCAGTAATCCATGTCCTTTGTTGACACGTCTTCAGCAAACTGTTTGTGGACTTTCTTGTGTACAGACTTCAGAAGAGGCTTCCTTCTGGGATGACGGCCATGCAGACCAGTTTGATGTAGTGTGCGGCGTATGGTCTGAGCACTGACAGGCTGACCCCCCACCTCTTCGAGTTCTGCAGCAATGCTGACAGCACTCCTGTGCACATCTTTCAAAGACAGCATTTGGATGTGACGCTGAGCACGTGCGCTCAGCTTCTCTGGACGACCAACGCGAGGTCTGTTCTGAGTGGACCCTGCTCTTTTAAAGTGCTGGATGATCGTGGCCACTGTGCTGCAGCTCAGTTTCAGGGTGGTGGCAGTCCTCTTGTAGCCTTGGCCATCTTCATGTAGAGCAACAGTTCGTCTTTTAAGATCTTCAGAGAGTTCTTTGCTATAAGGAGCCATGTTGGAACTTTCAGTGACCAGTATGAGAGAGTGTGAGAGCTGTACTAGAAAACTGAACACACCTGCTCCCTATGCACACCTGAGACCAAGTGACACCAACGAGTCACATGACATTTTGGAGGGAAAATGACAAGCAGTGCTTAATTTGGACATTTAGGGGTGCACTCACTTTTGTTGCTGGTGGTTTAGACATTAATGGCTGTAGAGTTATTTTGAGGGAAGAATAAATTTACACTGTTCTATAAGCTGCACACACACACACACACACACTTTTCATTGTGTCAGTGTCATTTTATCAGTGTTGTCCCATGAAAAATATACTTAAATATCTGCAGGAACGCGAGGGGTGTACTCACTTTTGTGATACACTGTATCTCTCCAGTTTTAGCTTCTCTCCACTGGCTCCCTGTCAAGTCCAGAACTGAATTCAAAATCTTACTTCTAACCTACAAAGCTCTCAACAACCTAGCTCCATCTTACATTACAGATCTTATTGTAGAAACCACACCTGGACTACAGAAACCACACCTGGACTACAGAAACCACACCTGGACGACAGAAACCACACCTGGACTACATAAACCACACCTGGATTACAGATACCACACCTGGATTACAGATACCACACCTGGATTACAGAAACCACACCTGGATTACAGAAACCACAC